AGAAGTGTGGCGATGAAACAAAAACAGTTGTTCAGAATGTTAAGGTTCATTTAACTCACGAGGTACATGCACAATGAATTAAATTTCTGCAGCCTGAATCTAGGGTTTTAGCTTTCTGGATTTCAGCTCGTCGCTAGTCTAATATGGTTTCCAAACGTCCATATTTGTAATAAAATATTAAGAAAAGAAACCAAAACGTATTTTCGACACTGGTATATAGCTTTTCGATCCGACGCACAGATTTGGCAGCCAACATAACGGTGTAGATTATGTTGATGGCCAGTAAATTCAGCGTGAATGTTTTGAAGAAACTCTTTGGCACTTTGGCTAGTGTTAGATACATGACCAAAGTGATAACAACGACTCGGCTGCCGAAGCCCAACAACACCACAATGTTCTTGTAGCTGTACAGGTCTGCTGCAAATTTCATGTTTTTGTTAAAAATTGGATGAAAATGCTGCCCGTTGCCAGAAAGAGGCGTTCCTCAGTTTTTTTGCGTGACCAAGTAACTTATCTTAGCATCAAATGGGAAAATGCCTGCTAGCCAGGCAACCCAATTAGTCAACAGCCTGCATGTCTGGAAATTATACTTTGAAATCCCCAATGCCGCCTCGCTTTCAAATATCAGTGTTGAACTCCTAATGTTTTCAAGAAAAATGAGTTCTTTTGCTGATAATGACATCCAACAAAGTAGGCCGGTATAGGCAAAAAAAGTTTGCAATGAACATTTCTGACTGCTAGTGCGAAATGATTCAAATTCAAGCCATATTAATTTCAGAACGAAGAAAGTCACAGGCGGTAGGCATGGATTTCTGAAGTTTGTTAAATGATACTCAGACAAAACAAAAGTGACTTTCATATTTCCTACGTTTAAAACTGTAGGACTGAAAGGAAGGCGAAAAGAGGGGGGGGACCAGATCTGGGGGCTTTTTAGATCCAAAGAACGCTGAAGTTGAAATACAAATTTTTGGCGAGCTGTCTCACTCGGTTATTGGCGACAGGTGATTTGAGACCAATTTCAAATGTGTTGCATCGTCATGTACGAAATAATTGCTTAAATCATGATTCGAAGCAGCTATAATTCGGAAATATTGCCAGTTTATTTAGATGACTAATTTCATTTGAAAAC